GTCCAAGCCCAAGTCGTTGTACTTCCAAAGTCTGGCCCACGCCCGGGAATGGATCGCGGGGTCGTCCAACTTGTATGCGTTGTCTTCAATCCTGGATGACATTGCCAACGGGAAAAAGACGGCGGCGGACAAGTTCAACTTGTACTTTGTGCCGATCGTCAACATTGACGGATACGACATCTCGTGGACGAACGGCAAGCGGTTGCAGCGTAAGAATGCCAACGAAGTCGACCTGAACCGCAACTGGTTGCAGTACACCACGAACCCCAAAACAAAAATCCCAGTCACGGACGAAACTTTCCCTGGCCTGCGTCCGGCGAGCGAGCCAGAAACTCAGGGGATTGCGAAGTGGCTCCACGAGAAGAACTCTGAACTATCCGGCTGGGTGGACGTGCATTCCGTCTTGGGGGCGATATTGTACCCTTATGGCGACACGAAGGACCGCATCGGCAACGGCGACGACGAAAAGTTCCAACGGCTCGGTCGCAACGTAGCTGCCGCAGCCGGTCGTAACTACAGGAGCCAAACGGCGGGTTCCTTCGGAGTTGCGTTCGGGGCGTTCGACGACTACCTCTACCGCACGTACAAGAAGCCCGTGGTGACCATCGAAGTGGCTGGTCGTCACTTTGTCGCCCATGTGTCGACCATCCGTACCCGCGGCGAGGAAATCTACAGAGCGTTGACTCAATTTGCCCAAGAAGTCTTGATTTTCGAGGGCAACAGCGGTGGCAATGTCGGTGGCAACGGCGGTGGCAATGTCGGTGGCAACGTAGGTGGCAATGTCGGTGGCAACGTAGGTGGCAATGTCGGTGGCAACAGCGGTACCAACAGCGGTGGTAATGTCGGTGGCAACGGCGGTGGCAACAGCGGTGGGATTTTCTTTCCCAAAGATTGATCAACCATTGGTATCCGATGATCATTGACTACTGTCACGTTGCCGATAGATTTGTCTGTTGAGGTAATGCAGAGTGGTAAAGCATAGAATATACATATTCGAACGGGACATATCGTGTTGTTGTTGTGTACATGTTTCATCGCTGGCATAGAGTTAGTTCGAATACAATGCGTTATAATCGATAAGTTACACGAACGATGGACGACAGCTCTTTTGGAAGGTGGTCGGTCCTCCATCACTGCATAGTCACACGGATTTTAAAGGCTTCCCCGGTTACGTTCCACCGACATGGTGCGAATGGCTCACGCGATATAATGATTGGCAAACTCCCCCGAACCAAGCATTGCAACCAGGCACAAGGGTTCTGGACGAGGAGCCTGCCCGACGACCAGCATCAACAGAGTCCTTCTTTGTGGAAGGTAATGCATCAGTTATTGAAACTGTTTTTTGTCAAGTGTTGGCCATGACTTCTAATCCCAGCAGCTCGAGAACGATTATTTTAATGCTGATAGCCCTTCAAAGTTTGGACCAAAATGGACCTAAGAACAGTTCTGAAAAACGATCCGTTGCATGCAGTAGTATTTTGCTTTTCACAACTTTTGGCTATTCTGGGACTAACAGTGTCTGTAAATCCCTTCTATTAAACATGGTCCCACGTAGGTTGAGTCCAGCTTCGTTTTACTAAATCGAAGCACCAAAAGTACCACTCTTTCATGCTCTAATTAGTGGTGATTTTATGGTCGTATGGGCTTGCTTCACTTTGATTGGACGCCAAAGGCTTTCTGAGCAAAGTTGCTAATGCAACGTTTGGGCATCCCGACAAAATCGCTTGGTTGCAGATTCTCACAGTGTACTTAAAGAAGCCTCCAACGATAAAGTGAGCACAAACATCATCCCTAATCTCTCTGTGTCCATGAGGACACTACTGTGTGCTGGTGGAGTGGAATGTTGGTTGAAGAGTGACGTGGTGGCGATAACCGCTGCATCCAATCGAATGCTTAGGTAACATCCCGGCGTTCGTCACGGTAGTGACGGTAAGAAGATGGTGCCGCAACGTGACGGATCTAGCCACTTACTTGCGGTCACTGTTGTTGCGGGGACACTCGTTAAGAATTGCTCAGTGTAGTGCATCGATGATGATGGACATTAGAGTGGCCATCCACAATCATCGCTGCACTCCACTGTTCGCCGTCGAGGCCACATTACAGTGTGCAATGTCCACCATCATCTCTTCTCTCCTGCACTCCGCCGTCCACCATCGCCGCCTAGTGCAGCGGTGACCGATTTCCTACTATGTCGACGGTGGTGGAGTGCAAGAGTGAAGCGATGATGGAGGACATTGTACAATGTAGTGCGGCCGTGGCGGCGGAAAGTGGATTGCACCGATGATTGTGGACGGCTACGGTTATAGTGATGATGTTCACCGATGCACTACACAGTACGCGGCAACCACCATATTGCGATGTCCTCCACCGTCGCGTACTCGACTGTCCGCTGTCGCCGAGTGCAGCGGTGGTCGTTTTGCCCATTTCGCCTATAAGGTAGCGGCCGCTGCGGAGCCACTCCTCATGAACTCGCGACGGTCGAAGGCATCCAATCATGGTGGTGGTCAGTAGAGTGAAGTGATGGCCGTCCGTCATGGTCGCTGCACTT